AGCTGCTTGTCACCCCAAGCCCCTGCACACGTGGCCTCCCGGTCCCGCACACCTTCACGTCTGTGAATGAGTGGGCTGCTCTCTGCTCTCCAGGACTCTGAAACCTAGGGTTAGGGAGGGCGTGTGTATGTGCGTGGGGTGGCAGGGGGACAGGTGACTACACACGAACAGTCCCCATCAAGGCAGCTCTGAAAGGGGCAGTTGGCACAGACCCCTACTGGACCTGACTTCAGTTCTCTTCCAGTGACCACGGTGAAGCTGCGGCCAGCGGGGCGGGAATGGTGGAAATGATGCACCCGCCTTCCTGAGAAGGGGCACGATTCCCTGCGCGGGCTGGTGAGCACTCAGGGCCTGGACCACTGACACCGGCGTCTGCCTGTCCCTAAGTGTCCTAACCCCTGAGGCTGGCTTTTCCCAGGCTCCTATGCAGGAAATGCACTTGTGTTTCTGCTACTGTTATTTTGGGTCTTGGCGTAGGAGCAGAATTTACGTCCTAACACAGGAGATGTGGATAGGGTGGGTGCAAGCGCTGAGGAGGAGGGACAGTCACGCGTGACCATGTTTTACTGAGCTTCCCTCCCCACGCACACACGTGTAAGGTCAGGAAGGTGGCGGTTTTTGAGAAGATGTGGTGTCCGCACCAATGGAGCAGACGGCCTGCTCTTCTCTGCTTTTGGAGTCTGTGTTTTCCTCTACACACACACCCGTCTTACTAAGTGATTTTTGTTTCGAAGGTTGGACGGTTAGGTTGAGCCAGCTCAACAGCACCAGCTGGAAGACCGGGGTGGGGGGGTAAGACCCAGAGCCACGGCCCGAGGGGCAGGGCGACCTGCGAGCTGGGCTTTGTTCCCAGGTCCTGTACGTCCATCTGGACCTTTGATGATTGTGGACCTGCAGCCAAGTGGAGAAAAACAAAGTGCACACATGCTGCAGGCTGGTACAGACGAGCGCCCTGGAGCACGTTTAGCACGCAGAGGCCCTGGCTTCAATCACCTCCTTTTAAAAGATGGTGTTACGCCATCCAGTGACAGTGTGAGGGAATCGGGCACTTTCCCAGGTGGTAGGTTTTAGGCGGTATTTCAGTGATACCAGGTTTGGGGGGGCGACCTCCTCTTCTCGTGATTTCCTGCAAGCAGAAGCAGGAGGGTTACACACTACATTTCCTGGGCTCCCTTCCAGCTGCGTTTCTGGGTGTGAGTTGGATTCTGCTGACTGTGTGAGTCTGGAGAGGCGCCCGGCCTGGCTGGCCTCACCGCTGGTCCTCAGCCGGCCTGGTAGCCAAGCGCGGGGGACCGTCTGGGGCCATGAACCCTGAACAGGAGTGAATCACCACTGCCATGTTTTTTATGTTGTTTCGCAGACTCCCGGTCTGCCATTCACCCTTCCAAAGACTGTGGAAAACACAGGCTTTCAGAGATGGGGAAGAAGGAAAAAGAGGTTTAGATTCCACCACGAGGCTGGTGGAAATGCCTGCGTTCATGACTCAGTTGACATCTTCAGGCCAGAAACGGCGCCGTGGCAGAACCTGGGGCTGAAAAACGTAATCCCCCAGTGCTGTTCTCAGAGAGGCCTAGGGCTGTCTGTGTGATGATCAGTGACTTTTCTCTGGGCGTTTGTCCCACCCGCTAAGCACATCCACTGTCACGGCTGAGAGGCCAGCCCTCACTTCAACCTTGTTTTTCTCAATCACATCATATCACTCTCTAACTGGGTCTTGAACCCCTCCACACCCTTGCCGGCCTATGAGAGCAATTTTTAACAAGTCTACAAGCTGTCAAATATAGGTTAACATTGATATTCACAACTGTAGAAAATGCAGTTCCACCGACCCCACTCCCTCTAAACACTGATGTCAAATGGGGTGCGGGTGTGGGTCCCCCTGAAACTGTCTCCTCACCGTCCTCCCCTCTTCCTTGCCGAATGTTCCTCCTGCACCCGGGGCTCGGCCTCTGTGGGCTCTGGTCCCCCGTCCCCCCAACTTTCTGGCAATGGACCTTCGCAGTCTGGCTGCCTCCGTTTCCTCCCCACCACGGGCTGTAAACAGCCTGCGGCCTCACCCTCTGAAAGAATCCGTGTCAAATCACCCCCTCACGTCTCTCTTCAGCACTCAGTGCATCCCAAGGCCCCCAACCCCAGCCCTGGCTCAGCCCCGACCTCCTCGCTGCCCCGGCTTTCAGTCGAATTTGACGAAGCTTCACTGGTCATCCCACCTGTGGCTCATCCTAACAAGACCAAAAAACCAGAAATGACAACATAAGAGAGTAAGTGCGGATGATAATCCGACGGGGCGTTGGAGAGTCATTCAAGGGAAAGCTCACAGGATTCTGAAGGGCACCAGGATGTGCTTGGGACGCAAAGTTGGGAAAAAAGCCTCACACAGAGCGTCGTCTCCACTATGTGCACTTACAGAGACTAGGAGGAAGCAAGGCTGGTCATTTCAGGGCAGCGGAACGATCACTTTTGTTTTCTCCTTTACCTTTTCTGTATTTTACAACGAGCTCTAAAACAAAAATCCTGGGAGAATAAAAGGAACATTGCTCTGAACCTCCACCTGCTGGCGGTTCTAGGAACGGCAGGCTGAACGAAGCACCTGCCCCACCTGCTACCACCACCAGCCTGCTTCACTCAGCACACTTCCCTCATTTTCTGGGTGTGCTCCGTGCTTCCGTTTCCATGCTGTAATCCCGTTTCTATTTTCGTCTTGTAAAGACTTCCTTGTACAACCTTTGGGGAACACGGGTTAGGTCCCAGCTGTTTGCAAGTGACGGGACTCCTTGTGTCTCTTTCCCGCCTCGCCCCGCCCTCTGCCACGTGGACCAGCTGTGCTCTCGGAAGGACCGGCCGTGGCCTCTGGAAGCGGGTCGTGGACGGGGCGCTGGGAACCTGAAGGCGGAGGTTGTTTTCTGGGAGGGGACGCGGCCAGCCAGCACGGGAGGTCAACACCCTTGGTCCAGTTAGAGCCTGGACAACTGTGCGGGGATGGCTCTGAGGGGGCAGGAAGAGGACTTGAGGGGCTGTGGCAACAACGGTCTGGATGCCACGCTGAGGCTCAGACCAGGGGGTCCCCGTAGGGATGGAGCCAGACAGACTGGCCAGGGCTTCCTGCCCAAGGAAGGGTCCCGGACGACTGATCCTGGCTTCCAGCTGGGGAGGCCGGTGAACAGTGGTGTCGCAACTCAGGGGACATGGGACGAATGTCAGCTTTGGGGAAGGCTGGGGTCTGAGTAAGCTGAGTGTGGGG